AAGCTTTTTTTAGCCAACTCGGGGGATCGAACCGCGACGTTCACAATATTACCACGGCTCTTAACAGTCTGCAGTACTCACACTGAGGAAAATTGTTACAAATTAACCGTATTATAATCTCTGAGCGAATATGTAGAGGATGGATAAATCCAGGGTGTTGGTACGCCATCTATAGGCCCACGTCGGTCCAGCAAGAACAAGCGAAAACAAGAGCCGCCAGAGGCTCGTCTGGGCTCATCTGAGTCTGTTGCTTACGGTAAAAACGTAACATTTAAGTTGGCGTAGTGACAGCTTTTGTTAGCGCAGATATGGCAGATATCGCAAGTTTGCGTACACTCAATTCAGGCAACGCTTCTGCATTCTGCATAACTCCCAGAATCCCATTGGTTGATACAAATCGACGTGCCTGAAACTAATGTTTTTATGGTGCATTGTGACCTAACCCTATTAAAACAAAACAAAACAAGGTAGGCAGGTGATGTAGTGACCGAATAAGCTCGAAGGAACGTACACCATTTGCATCTATATTGGGCCAAATTTTGATGAAGAAAATTAAGTTGCGGGAAAATCCACAGCAATACAAGGATTGTATCAGTATGCAGGTTTCAGCGATTATGTATGGCAACGCAATGGGATCACACCACTGTATTTGAGTGGCTAGTACTATTCCAACTATTTCATATATGTACACTACAGAATTCATATATAACTCATCTCATTATCGTCTAAGTAAGCATTGTTCCAGTAAGAGTTATGGGTGTGGAATTTCACTGTATTTTAAATGGGAGCGTTCCACGACACAGGTTACTAGGCCACGCAGTTGGAGAAACAAATCAATGTTTAACACGCTCCTAGGCTGCCAAATAGAGAGCTGCCACCTGTACCTAATTATTACGAGGCCAAAAACTACACCCCATACTATCACCGACCAACAAGGAGCTGGCAGTGGCGCCACTGGCAGTGCATGATTAACACCACTGGACGTACAGAATGCCATAGAAATTATAAGCGATTTAAGGAGCATAACCTTCTTCAAGCAATTTACTTTTGAAATTTCACTGTGGTGACATTGTAGCCTCATAACATCAGGCAATGTATAGATTTACTAGCAAACCCAGCCAGTCAAATTCTTTCTACCACAGTAAACAGTTAACAAATCCATGTTTAAATCCCTGCCTCCTTGAGGGTCAGAAGGTTATCAGACACTTACTCTGTCGCACGTCAGTGGGGAAAGCACTTATCATGGTCCTTTCAATAAAGCCATAAGAATGATAGGTTAGGTCACGCTGAAAGCAAACAAGTTTTTCAAATTTGCTCGCGTCAGACCATGTCCTCAGGAAAATGTCTAAAATCTGCCCTGTGGCCATGACTTTGGACCTGTGACCCTCAAATTCAGGCACAGTGATGGCTTTTCCTACCATGATGCTATACACCGACTATCACAAGGCCTAGGTCGAGCCGTTTAGATTTGTGCTAGCAATTCGCATTTCCTCCCTATACTTAAGTTAAGGAGTGAATGTTCCCCCTTATTTTACACCTCTTTGACCTTTGACCTTTGACGCCCAGCTTCGACATCCCAACTCGTTTTCGGATTACCCCCCACGTCCCGAATATCGTGACCGTACGTCGAGCGTTTAAGATTTGTGCCCAACTGTTGACGGAGCCGGACGGACGCACGATCATGCGATTCTAACAAGCTGCATCTGTACTATGTCAATGAGCCTAATAATATGGTTAGCAAGCAGGATGATTCGAACACGGGGTAGTACTACGATAAACTAATTAGCTCTAGTATTAGTATCCTAGAGCTAAACTAACCTCGTAGAAATAGTCTTCAAAGTCTAAAGGATGATACCGAAAGACTAACTAATAAATAAATCGAAATGTAAGTTGTTTCTTTATGTATTAAATTTATGCAGACTTCTTATGAAAAATCTTACCATCTGCATTCACTAATCCCAATTCAATTGCGTATTGATAAGAGTGATAACCTTTAACGGTTAACGTAGTCCTTCTCAACTGCTTTACGCGGCCCTTGAGTTCTAATATGCGTGCAGATCTACGCAACCGATCACGCCAAAGAAACCCGATCAATGCGACGATTACTATGAAAGTTGACTTTGCACATTGCTACTTCCTCTTGAGCTGTCGCCCTTTGATCAACCAGGGCCTTAATGTAATCTAACGTAGTGCATCGGTAAACGCTGCGAGGGCTCGACACACGGTGGATTTACTCACTCACCAAAACTGTCTGCTATTACCTGTTGAAAATGCACCACTCGCAAAGCAAAGGGGGGGCCATTAACAGCACCCAGATGCTTTGGGTACGTCGCATCCCTCTCTGCGAGTGTATCTTTGGCAACTCATTCACCAATAAGTACGAAATAATCTTTCAAGAGCCCTGCCGCGAAACCTATATCTGTCGTACAATTCGCGATCAGTCATGATGTTGAAGTGGTCGTCGTGTCTGCGATATTCTTTTTGTTTTTCGGGAACTGGGGCGTTAAAAAGGTAAAAATCAGCCATTTTTAACCCTGAGTTAAGAGTTAATCCAGGTTTGAACCAGATTTAACTTTTAACTCTGAGTTAAGGAATTTAACTCTGAGTTAAGGAATTTAACTCAGAGTTAAGAGTTAATCCACGACTGTGGAACCAGGTCAAGGAGTTCAGATCCAAATCACAACCTGGTATAGTTTAGTTTATTTTTTTAAATATTAGACTTTATGTAGTTGTTTACTTCACATACACCCAAGAAAGAATATAACTAGCTGCATGAGTCACACACCTGACCTTTATTGTCAAGTCCATATGCAATAGCTGCAGCTGTTGGTTCGCTGATAAGTCGTAGCACATTGAGACCAGAAATTGTGGCGGCGTCTTTCGTTGCCTGCCGCTGACTGTCATTGAAATATGCTGGTACTGTTACTACGGCGTTTTCCACAGTCTGTTCGAAAAAATAACAATTTAGTTGTATATCACACTAGTATATTACCTAGATTATAGAAGGTCAGCATAATCAATAACAATTTCATGTTTCAGAATTTTATCTCATACATTAGTGCCCTGTTACCCACAGCTTCCATGTAAGAACAAAAACCACCAGTGTAAACATTGCATACTACTTGTTAGGTGAATTCACGCTCATCAATACAGAGCTCAGACATCCAAGGAAGTAAAATCCCTCATCGAGGTATCGGGAACATCTCTGGTGGAAACCGCAAATTAGGAAAAATATTTATCATTGCTCTTAATACGCCACGTGGCAGCCTTCACCTTTCATCTATCAATCTAACAATTAAGATGCAACGTAGCGATTACGCACCCTTCCGAGGTAGGCCTCAGCGGTTTCCTTCATTTTGTTTAGTACCATGGACGAGACTTGTTCTGGGAAGTACAGTTTGTTCTCACCCTGGCAGTCTATGCTAATCTTGGGCTTGCCTCCATCGCTAACGACTGTGAAAGGCCAGTGTTTCATATCCTGCTGGACAATTGTGTCGTCGAAATGCCTTCCAATCAATCGCTTAACATCTACAAAAGACGTCACCATACAAAAATATATGAACTGTCAGAGGTTAAAATACAGGTATGCTTTCAATATTTCTCATCAACGTTCATTTATAAATTTTTAGATTTGTACAACGTGAATTTTTTTTAGGACAAAGGTAAAGGAATACGTGTATGTGCATGATTATCGTCAACTCAGACAGCCAAGGGATGGAAGTCAACAGTTCAGCCATGAAACCACAAAAACCCGTTTTTCCTCATCGTTGACATATTTAATAATACATATATATACTAATTTTCCAGAGACAAATTATTCACTTACAAGTCCACATGTTATCACAAGTCAATTAAGATATAAGTAATCTGTAATGCAGTTTAAAAATAGCCTCTTTTTTGTGTAAAACGTACCATAGACAGTGTTGATCGGGTTCATTGCAGCCAGGTTTTTTGCTGCATCACCGACGAGTCGTTCTGTATCCGTAAATGCTACATAGCTGGGTGTGGTGCGATTACCCAGATCGTTGGCAATGATTTCAACTTTGCCATGCTGAAATACTCCGACACAGGAGTATGTCGTTCCAAGATCAATACCGATTGCCGTTGCCTTGAATGCCATTTTGCTTGGTTATTGGATTCAAATCAGTTACGCTACAAGATGAGAAAGAATATATCAAAATACTTGCATGTTAACTGTTATAGAACCTACAATTAGAAACACGTTCGTTTCAAATATGTTTCATCCTACTGCGGCCAAAGGGGAAGTTTCAAATAAAGGTCGCAGTGACCTGGTTTTGGTACGCTGCACACCTTCTCCCCAAGATGTGTAAGTATACCAAGTTTGGTAGCGCTAGGTCAATTAGGTGTCGAGTTATAGAGCAGATGGGGAAATTGTCTGCGGCGGCAGCGGCTGGGGAGACATGAAACCATAGTATCACCGCCGACTTCGTCGCGGGGGATACAATTAGTGTTGATATCACAGTCAAGAGACGTTCAAAGATAAGTTTATGTATTGCATAAACGCCGAATGTCAACATATCAAGGCCAATGAAGATAATACTATACAACACTTACATTGTATTTGGTTTGTGCTCGTTCACCCTCGTAGACTCGGAACCCCACAGAATCCTGGTTGTCCTCGCTGGTCTGGAACATGGACGTCTGCTTTGTGGGGATGGTTGTATTACGCTTGATGACAGTCGTCATAATACCTCCAATGGTCTCGATGCCGAGTGACAGCGGCGTGACGTCCAGCAGCAGCACATCCCGCACCTCCTCAGACTTGTCTCCGGACAGGGTGGCTGCATGCACCGCAGCGCCGTACGCCACAGCCTCATCCGCGTTGATGCTCTTATTCAGTTCCTTTGGGGAAAAAATGTCATTAAGATTGCGCATAAAATGCTAAGAACACAAACAGAGAAGGAGCAAGGTACACTTAAACGCCCAATTTATCGCATACACGGCAACTATAATCACGAGTCATGACAACGAGATGAATTGCCCAAACGCTCTTAGACATACTTTGCCGTTGAAGAAGTCCTGCAGGAGCTGCTGGATCTTGGGGATACGGGTTGAGCCTCCAACAAGCACAACGTCGTCGATCTGAGCCTTGACCATCTTGGAGTCACGCAGGGCAATCTCCACCGGCTCCAGGATTCCGCGGAAGAGATCAGCATTGAGCTCTTCGAAACAGGCTCTCGTGATGAACGTGTAGTAGTCGATGCCCTCGAACAGGGAGTCGAGCTCGATGCTTAAATACAAATAGATAACTTTTCAGTAAAATTCCCATGCAGCACTTTTACACTAAAACCTTTTCTCAATGTTTCTGCACCAGATTTCCCACAGGTGCACAATAATCCCCCAGATATTCAGTGATGTAACTGTCTACACAGTGACAACTATAAAAACACTTAAGTTATGATTGCCAACATTAGTACCACCAACTTTTAACTATCATTACTAGGGATTATGAATAAGTTTTTGCATGCCTGCACTCACACACACACACACACCTAGCCTGAATGCTTGAGGAGAGCATGCGCTTTGCTCTCTCGCAGGATGTGCTTAGACGCCTGACTGCGCGCTTGTTGGCACTCATATCCTTCTTGTATAATATTTGCGCTTGAACTCCTGCATGAAGTGAGCGACCATGCGGTTGTCAAAGTCCTCTCCTGAAAATATTTACACAGCAATCATTGAAACCTGATAACAATGCATCTTATCGTACAACACCCATGCAAAGTTTACGTATCGAGCACCACACTACGTTTTACGCGGCACATTGAAGGACGACTGGTTCCTTACCTCCTAAATGCGTATTACCAGAAGTAGATTTCACCTCAAAGATGCCGCCGTCTTTAATGGTCACGATGGAGACATCAAAAGTACCACCCCCCAGATCGAAGATGAGTATATTGCGCTCTCCATGACCCTAACAAACAACAATACCTTATATAAACTAGCTGAAACCCGCGCTACGCGCGGGCTTAGTGACTGTGATGCATGTGTTACCAGTGCAGTAGTGTTATGTGTAAGGTGTTATAATTATGGAGAGTTTCGTTGTTGCACATCTTTGTTTTTTTATGGTTGAGATGTCAATACAAATACAAGTACAATCATGCTTACACGTAACACATTAACCATTTGTTTGGCAAGTACACAGTGAAATACAGACACACACACGCACGCACGCACGCACGCACGCACGCACACACACACACACAAATGTTTTATTGTATGCCTCACTGGTGGAATGCGTTTGATGCATACGCGATCAAAGTTAGATATTAGGATAGATCTTGTGAAATGCGTGGCTGGTACGGTCGCGGGCGACTGATTAAGCACTTGGCTGCGTAGGCAACGCTATATACTTATCGTGTCTTCGCATTGTGTTCCACTGTGTGCGGACCAGCGACCGGCGTAAACTATGCGTCGTGGTTGTTGATATTTCTACGCTATGGTTTTGCACTCTTGCGGACAAACGTAATATTACGTGCTTGCTGCACTCGGATCCCGCTTTGTGACAGCATCCGGTGTTGGGATCAACTCCGTAGCCAGCATTGTGCACCTTCCAAAAAAAATCTGCTCTGGATGAAATTCAATTGTAAATCTCATATGGGAAACTATGCACAAATAGCTAGCTGATGTGCATAAACTTCATTATTACATGGTTCGTTCTAGTTACATTGTGCTGATTGGGCTTAGCAAAAAATCTCAGACACACACACACCGCAGAACAAAACGAAAACATAAACAGCGCCCTATTTTCAGGTGCAAATCTTTACCTTTTGTTATTATGTGCTCTATAATGTTGGGTCTTTTTTAAGACCTGAACAAACGGTAGATTTCAAGACCACAGGTATAAGCACGTTATACGAACCCGTCCCGTTACTTCATCGCGATCCTGTTGGTTGAGTTTATAGAAGTTGTTTGGCGCGATATTATGGATGCACAAACCTGACGGAGCCTTTGATTAACATTACAACAGTGTGCAGCGCCACACTCTATGATGAGGAGAGTAGGAATGGCCGATTTATATACTACAAATGGCGTACATTTAGGTTTTGAATGACCTGCAGCAGCCGTAGCACACAAGGAGCCCGGTTTCCACTAAAGTAAATGAGTAGGAAATAAGTACACTTTAGACCCTGAGTTAATGGTGTTTTAACTCCTAGAGAGTTTAAATCACACTAAGACTTCTGATGTTAGTGAACTTACCGAGAGATATAGAAATTTGGCGTTTCATAAACATGCCGTTCTAAAATCCTGAGGTACGATGTTAGAAGCTAACTCAGATGTATGAAATATTTTAACTCAGAGTTTAGTATCCCGATAATTTACAATAATTCATAACAAGAGAGATAGAACAAAGATGGCACAGCAGCAGGACCAGAGAACAACTGCTAGAACGCGAAGCAATGGGGCACAGGCGAAATGAAGCGAGAAGCTTCGCATCACCCAATTTTGTCTAGTGGCAGCGAAAAGCGCACTGCTAGTGCGAAACTGTATAGGCTAGAGAAGAAGTAAACAAGAGTAGTGCTGACAATACGGGAGCCTAACAAAACAAGGATAGTTACGAACAAGGGCATGAGACAAAGAAGCAAGTATATGGACAGATCTCTTATTATTGTTATGAGTTTATCTGTATTATACCGGGCGAGCCGGCGGTGAATAAGTAAAACATTAGAAGTTTTATTCTACGGTGAGCCGCGCAGCGATTAATGATAAATTGATGAAAGTCTTTTTTAGTATGAGCCAACTCGGGGATCGACACCGCGACGCTTCACGAATATTTTACCTAGCGAGCGCCTCTAAACAGTTGCAGTGATACCGGAGAAGGAGCGTGAAATTTTGCTTACAAGTGGTTATAATATTAACATAAAAAACGAATGGTATTGGGATAATGGAAAGATATATCGATCGGGACGAGGCAAAGCAGATGAGCAGAGAGAGCGCAGTGTTGGTACGCATCTTTAGGCCCACGGTCACGCACGGGTAATGCGAAACAACAAACCTGTTAAACAAGAGCCCCGCAGTAGCGTCTGGCTCATCTGAGGTCTGTTGCTTTGAGACGACACGGCTTGCGCAGAAATAGAGTTAACATTTAAGTTGTGCGTCAGGTGACCCTTTGTATGGGCAAGATATGCAGAATACGCAGTGCGGCTACATCCATCATTTCAGCAACCCTTCGCATTCTGCCCCATAACTGCCCACAAATCCATTTGCGTGATACAATCGCTGTGCCTGAAACGAATGTTTTAGTGGTGTATTGTGCCCTAAACCCTATTAAAACAAAACAAGGAGCCGCAGAAGGTAGAGCGTCTGGGCTCATCTAGAGTTCTGCTTGCTAGCGATTATAAGATCGTAAAAATTTCTGGTCAGTGCGTTGTTCAGTACCACATTTCGTTAAGGCACAGATATTGCACGACAGCTCGCCTAGTTGAACAGTACACCACCTCGTATGGTTAGGACGCGCCCTACTTATCGCAAGATGAGAGGTGTGGGGAGAAGGAGAAAAGAGAAAGAAAGAGACCGAGAGACAAATAGCAGAAAGGTCGCGTGAATGGAAGGGTGGGGAAGGGGCATGGGGAAGGGTTGGGGGAAGGGGCGGTGGGGCAGGGGGAAGGGGAGGGGTGGAGAGGAGGGAGGCTCTAATAGCGCAAAAGCAGTTCACTCCATTGTTTAACAGTCAGGGATCAAATCCATGTTTAACCCTCCTCTTGGGCGGTTCAAAAAAGTCGTTATCAGACACTTACTCTTGGGCACACTGTCAGTTTGGAATAGCAGATTCAGTTGGTCCTGTTCAAATTAAAGCCAGTGAAAATATGATAGATCACCGCATGAAACAAGAATTTTTTTCAATTCTGCTCCGTCAGACATGTCTCAAGATAATGTCTAAAATTCTGCCCTGTAGGCCCGAGTGTGTGACTTTGACCTTTGACCTCCAATTTCAGCACAGTGAGAGCTTTTCCTACCATCGATGCTGTATACACCGACTATACGAGCATAGGTCGCAGCCCGTTTAGATTTGTGATGCCGCAATTCTGCATTTCCTCCCTTATACTTAGTATAAGGAGTGAATGTTCCGCTTCTTTTACACCTCGTGACTTTGACCTTGACCCCCAAGCGTTCAAACATCCCACTCGTTTCTCTGGATTACCACCCCCGCCCACGTCCCGGGGAAATATTCGTGACCGCTACGCTCGAGCGGTTAAGAATTTGTGACCAAGTGTTGACCGGAGACGGAGAGCGGGTGGAGAGACGCGATAGCTGGAGACGACGGCGAGATGGCCCGTTTGACAGGAAGAAAATGCGGACGATATATGACGGAGAGCTCAGATGAAGCCTAATAAGATGTGATTGGGCTTCCCTCCTAGCCCGTGCGAATGGATATGCGAACACGGGGTAGTTGACTAGATAAACTAGATTAGCTCTAGTATTCAGGTATCCTAGAGCTAAAGACTACCTCGTAGAAATTAGTCTTCAAAGTCTAAAGGATGATACCAAAGACAACTATAAATAAATCGAACTGACTAAGTTAGTTTCTTTAAATGTATTTAAATTATGCAGATTTTATGAAAATCTTACCGCGCTGCTTTCACTCATCCGCAATTTTGCAATTGCCGTATGATAGAGTGATAACCTTTACGGGTTTAAGCGCTAGTCCTTCCTCAAGCTGCTTTACAGTAGGGCCCTTGACGGTCTATATGGCAGATATGGGCGTTGCGTTCTATGCAAAACNCAGTCATCTGACTTGGAACCAAAATATACATTCTAAATAAATCTTAAACTATGATAATACGTACCGTACCTTTTAATTATTTACAGTATCTACACAAACTGTTATGGCGCACAAAGTTGAGCAAGGGAACCGAGAAGATGTTTCTTCACTAGGCACGCCAGCGCTAGGGAAGTGTGGGGGCATGTTCCCCCAGAATTTTTTTAAATATTTAAGACATTTTCTTGCAATCTGAGGCATACTGTGGGCCATATTCTGATGTCCGATATCGACACTATATCTTAACCCAAGACTCAACC